ACTAAGCACGGAGCCTGACATGGGGCTTGATCATAACCTGAGTCAAAATCAAGAGCGGAATGCTCAACTGAGCTAACCAGGCACCCCAGGTTGTATAAGTTCTTTGTATATTTTGGATACTAATCCTTTATCACATATGTCATTTGCAAGTATCTTCTCCCACTCAGTAGGCTGTCTTTTTAGCTTCCTTGTCTGTTTCCTCTGCTGTGCAGAAACTTTTTATTCTGATGAAGTCCCAGTGTTTATTTTTGCTTTTGTTTCCCTTGCCCCAAGAGACATGTCTACAGCTGGTGTCAAAGAAGTTACTGCCTATGTTCTCTTCTAGGATTTTTATGGTTTCAAGTCTCACATTCATATCTAATTCATTTCGAGTTTATTTTTATGTATGCTGTAAGAAAATGGTCCAGTTTTCCCGACATCGCTTGTTGAAGAGACTGTCTTTTTCCCATTGCGTGGTCTTGCCTCTTTAATTGTAGATTAATTGATTGCATAACTGTGAGTTTATTTCTGGGCTTTCTATTCTGTTCCATTGATCTGTGTGTCCATTTTTGTGCCAGTGCCATACTGTTTTGATTATCATAGCTTTGTAACATAACTTGAAGTCTGGAATTGTGATACTTCTAGTTCCATTTTTCTTTTTCAAGATTGCTTTGGCAATTTGGAGTCTCTTGTGGTTCCATATAAATTTTAGGATTGTTTCTTCTAGTTCTGTGAAAAAAGCTGATGGTATTTTGATAGGGATTGAATTAAATGGGTAGACTGCTTTGGGTAGTATAGACATTTTAACAGTATTTCTTCTTTCCATTCCATGAACATGGAATGTCTTTCCATATCTTTCTGTTGTCTTCAATTTATTTCATCATGTTTTACAGTTTTCAAAATACAGGTCTTTTACCTCTTTGGTTAAGTTTATTCCTAGGTATTTTAATTATTTTTGGTGCAATAGTAAATGGGATTGATTCCTTAATTTCTCTTTCTGATGCTTCATTATCAGTGTACAGAAATGCAATAGGTTTCTGCATGAATTCACTTCTGAGTTTGAGCAGTTTATTGGTAGAGTCTTTAGGGTTTTCTATATGTAGTATTATGTGATCTGCAAATAGTGAAAGTTTGACTTCTCCCTTACCAGTTTGGATGACTTTTATTTCTTCTTGTTGTCTAACTGCTCCGGCTAGGACTTCCAGTACTATGTTGAATAAAAGTGGTAAGAGTGGATATCCTTGTCTTGTTCCTGACCTTAGGCGAAAGCTCTCAGTTTTTCAACACTGAGTACGATGCTAGGCTGTGGGTTTTCCATATACGGCCTTTATTGTGTTGAGGTGTGTTTCCTCTAAACCCACTTTGTTGAGAGTTTTTATCATGAATGTTTGTATGGAGTATGAATTTTTTAAAATATCAGCTGAATTTAAGTTTTAGTTTGTATGAGACATTCTATTCCCTATCTATGGTCTAAGTACCTATTATGAATAAATGAAATAGTTTTTCCCCCAGTTTACTGAGAAATAATGGACTTCGCTGTAGAAATAATAAAGTTTACAGTAAAAAAGCTTTTACATTCTTCTTCGTAGGAAACATTTTCTCATGAAATTAAATACCACCGCTAAAAGTTATGAGTATATTAATAAAAAGCATTGGCTTATTTATTTCACCATTTCAAAAATGAGAAATAAGCTGTCAAGAAGTACTATTATCCAGGGGTGCCTGGGTGGCTCAGTGGGTTAAAGCCTCTGCCTTCGGCTCAGGTCATGATCCCAGGGTCCTGGGATCGAGCCCTACATCGGGCTCTCTGCTCCGCAGGGAGCCTGCTTCCTCCTCTCTCTCTCTGCCTGCCTCTCTGACTACTTGTGATCTCTGTCTGTCAAATAAATAAATAAAATCTTAAAAAAAAAAAAAAAAGAAGAAGTACTATTATCCAGTGTGACCAAGGAAAAGAAAACCCAATTATCACCAATACCTATGACCACACTATAAAACAGATGCTTTAGACAGATGTTCCTAAATACCTAGTTCCTCAATACTTGACCAACTAGCTCTAATTCAGTAAAACAAATGAAGGACATCTATGAATATTGTGACATCAAAATAATGAAGATGAAGTTAGTGTTTGTGCCTGAAAAATTGTTAGTGACCAAAAATGCAGGTACGTACTCAAGACACCAAAGCAATGAAGAGTTATTAGTTCAATCGTGAGTTATTATTTCTGTGGCATTAATCTGTGAAATGGACTGGCCAACACAGGGATTTTGACAGGGCAGGCAGGCCAAGAAAGGTCAGGTTAGCAAAATCTATGAGACTCTGACAAGTTACCCATCCACTTCTGAATGGCTGGGGTGTTCTGAAAGTGTTACCTGGCCAAAATGTGCACAAACAGCAGAGTGAAGGCACCATCTGCTCCAGTGTTCAAACCACGACAACAGCAACATAGACCATGAGGGCCACTTTGCTATGGGAGCATTTTTAAAAAGGCATTTACCCTGACAGGAAGTGTTAAGTAAGCACCTATTCACTAATGAAAGAGACAAAGAGAGTGTCACTTCTGATCTTCCATTACAGCTAACTAGGACTCTCTTAGAGCCTCCTCTGGAGGGAAGGACTTTCTTGTTTCTGGTGGAATGACACAGAACGCTTCTACTAATGTTTTCATAAATTAAACCAAGAAATCCAAAGAGAGGTTTAGCTTTCAAAACTACACACTTTTCTCATGCTCTTCCTCTGAGAGCAAACAGAGAAGTTGTGCAAAAGAATATAAAACAAAACATCTATAGGAAGATGCTGGAGAACTACTAAGGCAGCAAGAACTTGTGTCAAAAACCCAAAAGGAAGGAAAGCCCATAGTCAGGATCCAGACTTGGTGTTCTTTTTCCTCGGAGGCATTCAAGTGTATAACAGAGAAGCTGACAAGTTGGGAGAACACAGTGACTGAAGCCACAGGTACAGAGAACTAGCTACTGGCGGTCCCACAAAGCTGAGAGGTTCAGGGGAGAGATTTGGAATTCGGCTTCCATGGAGCAGGAAGCTCTCAAAAAATATCCCCAAAGTTCTGGTGAGATTTTGAAGACCTCTGCCCTAAGAGAAAAGGTAAACTGGAAAGAAACCTACTCTTTGAAAAGGAATGAAGCCCAGATTTCAGCTTGAACCATGACCGAATCACGGTTACCTGCCTCTGGCCTAACTGCCCTTAAGAAGCAACACTAAATCCTCCCAGAAGGATGACAAGATCATCCCAAACCTCAAATTACCCTTACACGTCTTCATATAGAACATAGGGCTCTTAATAAAAAGTAAGCAGCTCTAAGAGGCTTGACCAAAGGTCACGAAAGGAAAAAAACAGACCAAATTGAAGAAACCAACAGAAAGGAGATCAAGACACTACATTGATAAAGACATGGAATTTACAGCTAACTGTGATTATTTTATTCAAAAAATTATAAATCCATGCACGGAATTGGGCAAGGAAGCAGAGATAAAAAATAATCCAATAGAAGTTTTAGAACTGAGAAATACACAGTGGGAAATTCTGCTGAAATCCTGAAAAGAAAAAAAGATAAGAAAATCCCCAACTGTTTAAAAATTAAAACCTTTATATGAGAAATCATAAAGAGCTAGAAAATATTTTGAACTGATAACAAAAATACAAAATTCAAAACCTGTGGGATGAAGACAAAAGCTATCTGTAGAAAGTAACGTAGGCTTTAAGGGTAGATATTAGGAAGTCAGAGACCCAAAGCCCTCTCTCAGCCTCTGCTAACGGTGAAGCATGTCTATTTCCCAACACGGCAATCCCACTCCTGGTTTCATAACAAAGAAAATGTGTGCCTATGTGCACCGAAGATATATATCACAGAAATGTATATTAAGGCATATTTTTTAAAAAAATTTTATTCATTTACTTGACAGAGAGAGAGAGAGAGAGAGAGAGAGAGATCACAAGTAGGCAGAGAGAGGAGGGGAAGCAGGCTCCCCACTGAACAGAGAGCCCGATATGGGAGTCAATCCCAGGACCCTGAGATCATGACCTGAGCCGAAGGTAGAGGCTTAACCCACTGAGCCACCCAGGCGCCCCAAGACACATGTTTTAGTGACCAGAAAGTGAAATAAACCCTAATTTACATCAATAGTAGAAGAGAGAAAGAATTTACGGTACGTACACCAAAGTGGAACACTTGCCATAATGAAGGCAAATGTGGATGAATCTCGACGTGTTCAAAAGAGGCCAGGAAAGAATACATACGGCAGCATTCCAGTTTTAGAAAATTCAAAAGAGGCAAGCAAAAAATTCGCCTACAGTGTTGCCTGAGGCCAGTGGTACCTTTAAGGAGAAGGACAGTGACGACGCAGTCATGGGAAAAACGTATTTCATGATTGGGATCCCGGCTGCACGAATGTATTTTCTTGATAACAGTCTGTAAGACTCCAAAAATCAAGGATAAAGCAGCTCTGGTCTTAGCAGCAGTGCGGTCAAAAAGATTTAGGGTAAAGATCAGGAATCGATCCATGAGGAAGTGTGACGAACCGGTAAAGTTTCACCTTCGAGAAGGAATGATGTGGGAACACGATTTGTGGGCACCCGTAAGTACTGGGCTGTCCTGGGGGAAAGCAACTACACCGAACCCTGGCACATTTTAGCATGATAAGGGAAGTTCCTGAGACTTGAACGTTGATTTAATACACTCAGTATATGCTAAGCATATTGTAAATGTCATATTAATATTATGTTAAATAAGTATATTTAACATACGAGGTATATAGAATACGCTTAACCTACTGTAGATAACAGAGCTGCCCAGTAACGGGACACATGCCTCTGTAACGACATTCTCCATCACCGAACATGTGGTCACCAAGGTAGGACCGCCACCCTGGGGGTGGAGGCGGGAGTGGATGGAGGAGGTTCCCGCACCCAATGGAGAGGACGGGTGGCCACTGAAGTCCCTCCCACCACCTTCAGACTCTATGCATGTGTTAAACAGAGAACCACGATTAAAAAATATATACCTTACCCTTAAGCGTGTAGTGGAGATCTCCGCTTTTAAAATATCGGGATCATATTTAGTACTGGATGAAGAGCCTGAGAATACTTTTCGGAGAGAAAAAAGAAAAGAAAAAAAAGTAACTTCTCCAAGTTGCAGAACTTGTTCTCGGCTTGGAATTTACAAACTCTAAAAACGAGATTTACATGCTTCTGTGGATACTTACTTTAGAATTCCTTTATTGTCATTCATCAGACACCTAGATATAAAAAGTAATCTTCAAACCTTTATCATTTTTTTCATAAAAACTCAAGAAAGAGGAATGTCATAAAGACCACGGAGCTTACTGCTCTCCAGAGTTCATGCCTACATCTAAACTCTTAGAAGACCCTACGGTACATGCAGCTGGTCAGAGCTGTGCGTTCCCCAGAAACTTCTAGAACTTCTGAGCCCATCCATACTGCTTCTTTAGATAAAAGCTCCAGATGATCACCTTCTGAGATGTGAGAGAGTGACCAACAGAAACTTCATCCCGGCCAACAGTTCCAGCACCTCCCGCTAAAAATCGTACAAGGGTAGCAAAGGGGGCCAAATTATTTGCCTGGATCCTAACAGGTGAAAACGAACTCATAAATAAGTAAAAGACAATCACGCAGAGGAAGGAGCAAAAAGTAGAAGGGATTCCTTATCAGCAAATTGGGGGGAGGGGTGGGGACTTCGGTCTGGAATGGAGTCGAGGGGTTCAGCTGTGAAGTCTGCGGGGTGCCCTCACCCCCTTTCATGGCTTCTGCCCACAAAGGAGCAGGACTCAAGATGAAATTCCACTGAAACCCAACTGGCCTTCCCTTAGCTACACTTCGGTCCCCATTTCCAGAGTCTGAGCATTCACACTGTACTTACAGCTGGTGTGAGAACTTGACTTTTCCTTGTAGGCATCGTTTAATCGTACATATTCATCGAGGGCCAAGGCAAGTCTCTGTTCTTTCACGTGGTACAGCTCCTTCTGGGTCCTGAGAGTGTCCTGAGCCACCGAGAGATAGTCCTTGAGCATCTTCTCCTGCTCCCCCCTCCACTGTTTTCGTGGATCTTCAATCTGTGTGGTTTCTGAAAATACATTAGGTGGGTTATATTTTAGAATTTAATGACTTTTTTTGGATCATTTAAGGTTTATTTAAAAAAAGAAGTTGCTAGCTTTAATTCTTATCTCCTCCAAGCAGTTCCTTAGTATTTATGAAGTGACCTCGCCAGAAATCGGATAGAGTTCTTGCTTGATTTTACCCAGTGGCTCACCACACCATCCACCCCATTTCAGATCCTTGTTAACAATTTATCCTCACTGTGAAGCCATCGTACACAACGTTGCCAAAGGAAGCTTCCTTCACCGGGGTCCCGCCATTCCTCTCAAGAATTTCCTGGCTCCCCAATACCTACAGAATAAAAGCCAAATGATTGATGCCGGCATTCAAGGTCCTGAGTGATCTGAACCCAATCTACTTCCCATGGCACACGTTTCCCTTTACTTAATACAGGACACTCTTGCCATGTTGCCCTTGACATCGGCGCCCCTCAATGTCTCTGCTGGCCGACCCCAGATCCCGAACTCTGTTACACGTCCACCACAATCAGTGGAGAAATCATGAGAAAACACTTTGAAATGTTTATGGCAATTCAATACAGTTATTGTATATTGTTGACTCTACTAGTGTTCGGGCTTGCATTTTATCCTTTTTTCCCATTTTCCAAATAATTCATTTTTATTGTATTTTACAAAAGTATCAGTCGGTCCGTAGTGGATTTGAAAACTAAAAACAAACCAAAACCAAAAACAAAAACAAAGCCAAAAAACCAAAACAAAAAGAATAAAAATGAACCAAACCCTAGTCCTGCTTGGAGAATACACTAAGGCCCCGTTCTTGGTTCTGTCTGTTGGATACGAGAATCACCCAGGGAGCTCTTAAAGGGGAAAAAAAATTTCCCAGCCCATTGAGAGTCTCTGTGGAAGAACCCGTGCAACGGTAGGTTTAAAAGTTGCATAGAAATTGCAAGGAGTGCAAAGAGCCCTCTTCTGCAATGACTCACAAGCTGCCTTCTCCATGAAATTATTCAGAGTACCAGCCCTGAGCTTGCTCAGACTTGCCCACTTTGCCTGGCCCATTCCTCCAACAAAGGCTCTGGTCTGTGCTCTTGCTTTCACTCCTGCCTCCAGACGGACCCAGGAGCTTCCCACTGTGGCCCCGAGAGGGTGGCCTGCCCCTTCCCTTGGGAACTGTGAATAATACAAGTTGTTTTCATGGCGCTGACCACTTCGCTTTGTGCTGCCGTTTGGTCATCTCTATGGACTAAATCACTATCCAAAAGGTTGGGTCATATGAGTTGGGCACTGTACGAATATGAGAACCTACTCCTGACGAAGTAGGATAGGGAAATTAATTTATCAATTTGCTGTAATGTCCAGGTACATATCCTGTGTTTAAAATGCTTTTGCGTGGGAGTCTCAGTCTTAATGTACCCCAAGCTCAGTGTTTCTGGTTGGCCCCAAAGGCCGCAGTAAGTCAACACCCAGACAATGATCTGAGGTGATCTGATGTGGACACGAGAATCTCTAGGGCCCAGGCTGGTTCTGGAAATGTCTAACTACCCTGGTCTCTAAGGATAAGGGATAACACTAAACTGAAGGGGTTCAGCTGGGAAGCCTGGGTCCCTTAGGGCTTAGAACGGTTCTGAGTGATTAACCAAATGGCCTGGGTTGGTCAGACACGGCAATGACCGCCTCGGGCCTGGGACCTTCACTCCACAGCCACTGGGAACAAAAGCTGAGCTTCTTCTAACGTTGTATTTTGAACACTCATATTTAAAGATGTAAGTATTTCAGCACACAGAAGAGGCCTATCTCATGTAATCAGGAGAAAAAAAAAAAAAAGGCTTGGCATCAATGTCTAGAGATGCAGGAGGGAACAATCCTGATCGGATGGTCTCTCCAGCCCTGATGGACATCATCACGGTGGGGCAGCTTTACTTTCTGGAAAATAAGGGGAAAGGGCAGAAACCAGCCAATAAGAGCCTAAACTTCTCAGTTTAAGAAATTTGTTATAACTCAGGTCTCTGGCGATCCAAATGTGTAATATTTATATTGCTTCCAACATCTAACTGCAAGTCGACTCAAAATACAGAATTCATCCTCTACCAAATAGAAATTTATGGTCTTACAAAAGTTTTCCTAACTGTGGCTGACCAGTAATAATCCTCCCCTCCTCGTGTTCTTGTCCCTTCAGTATGGGCCAGACCTTGTGATCTGCTTCCAATGAATACAAGGGAGAGGACGTGACGGGTAGGACCTGGGACCAGATCACCAAGGGCTGCGACTGCCAACCGGTGTGTCCCTCCCTCCCTGGTGCTTCGTGGCTTTCCTGCTGAAGCCAAGCATGATGCTATAAGCTGACCTAGGGAGAGGCCCATATTCAAGGAACGAGGGGGGCCGCTGGCCCTCAGCCAACAGGGAACCGAGTCCTGCCAACAACCACGTGAGTGAGCATGAAAGCAGATCCTTCTCCAGTTGAGTCTGGCTACCACCTTGAGGACCGCCAGCCTGTGAGACCGTGAGCTAGAAGATTCCGCTGAGCCTTGCTTGGATTCATGATGCACAGGAACCGTGAGATAATAAATGTATTTGGAGCCACTAAGTTTTAAGATCATGTGTTATAGTGAGAGATGTAGGTAATAAGCCGGACAGCTCAAGGTGGCACCTGGGTGGTTCAGTCAGTTAAGTGCCTGCATTTGGCTCAGATCATGATCTTGGAGTTCTGTGATCAAACCCTGGGTCAGGCTCCCAGCTCAGTGGGGAGTCTGCTTCTCCCTCTGTCTCTCCTCCTTGCTCATGCTCTCTCTCTCTCAAAGAAATGAATTTTTTTTTAAATCTTAAAAAAAAAAAACCCAAATGATCAGCATTTATTTGGCTAGATCAGCAGAAACACTCTGTTAGGCTGGTTTAGATACTGTATGTTACGAGAGCTTTACGGGAACGTTTACGTTTCTCAAATGCTGTACAATGCAAACGTGAGCTACAAAAGAGGGTTCCCAGATGCACCTCAGAAGGTTTCAGAAAGCAGGATTGTGCTTCACCTCCTCTGGCTACATGTGTTGAATGGATTTGTAAAGAATATTTATTAAGTGCAAATGCTAAAAAAAAAAAAAGTATTATGAAAATGTGGTATTTTTGAATTAAGACCTGGTAACCTTGGGAAATCACCGTATTAGGACACAATAATTTGCATGATGTCTGCGGAAATGTCCCGTACCTCAAGGGAATTCACACTCCATTGGTTTCAGGTATGGAACTTTATACACAGAGAACAGGTTGTGAGTTACAAGAGCTTATCGTGGAAGATGACATTATTCTTAAAAGGAGTGTGATCCCTGTCTGTCATGCCTATTTCCGTTCTTTCTGCTGTCCTCGGGAAGAATGGGTGACACAAATTGGAGGAACTGTCCTTTTCCTTCTTGGAAATTACCCACTGAGCTTATTATCCCCTGTTACTTCTACAGACAGGTACCAACCATCTACTACAGGCAATATAGGGGAAATGAGATGTTCGGATGTGAGGCCCTCCTTTCAAGGAACCTACAAAATAGAGAGGAAAATGTGACCCACGAGTTAAAAAAACAAAAAACAAAAAACAAAAAACAAAAACCACGAGTTTGTCCAGTAAAAACTGATAAAACCCTTGAGAGGAGGAAGGCTAAGAGCCAGGGCAGTTTAGACACTGGGTTTTCTCCGGCTAAAAAAGGAAGGTTCCACAGAAAGGCAGTGATGGAACAGGGCTCTAGAAGGTTCCAGACAATGGCCCCTCAGGACCCAGTGCTTTACTTTTCCAGATACTAACCACCCCCCCACCAGACCTCCACAATACACACAGCAGCCTTCAGCGGCACCGAATTTCTTTCAACAACCCTTCGTTCTGTGGCCTCTCCAGACCTTTGGCTTGAAGGCATGCTCTCTCTTCTTCCAGGAAGGTGGCCTTTTCCCAACCCCCAAGCCCAACCCCAGCCCCTTCCTCTCCAGGCCTGGTTAACTCAGTCATTCTTCGGGTATCAGCTCAAAGCACTGCCTCTAGCAGCCATGGCTACACCCTTCAGAACGGAGAGGACACTTGTACTTGTTGTCGCTTGCTCTGCCCGCCCAGCAGCGCTTCTTCCCACACTCTGCTATACTGTGTCATTTCTTCCCCACTACTCCAACAGGGACGGGCCCGCGGTTTCTTGAACACCAGGTTAATAAACATGAAACTCATTTTGCACGCGATGGTGTGCCACGAAGGTTCTAGGCAAGGCCAAGAAAGGATCTTAGGTGTATTTGAGGGACATTATCTGACAGAAATGTGAGGTTCTACTGTCTCTACATAACTCTACTAACTCTACAGAAGAGTCAATATGATTGTGCAGAAAGTTTTTTGATAACAGATTAAATGTTAAGTGAAAAAAGCTTATAAAATCATATATATACTATAATCACACTTGAGACATAAAAATGTATTTAAAACTCTGAGTGTGTGTGTGTCTGTATGTATCAATATGAAAAAGTTTGGAAGAGGCTTGGAATACTTCGTTCTCTTTGGGCTGTGGGAATACAGATAATATTTTTCCTTCCTTTTATTTATCTACATTTTCTACTTTTTTCCTACACACATGTATTACTTTTATAGTGTTTTTTTTTTTTTTAAGGGAAAGAAACAAAAGACACGAGGTAATGAGGCTCTGAATTAGGAAAATGATAGCAGACAAGTGGCTAAAGGAGCAAATCTGATATTACGGTATAGATAAAACAATCTGTAAGAACTGACAAAATGATTCTACATTTTTCGATGTAGGAGTCATGAGGACCATAACGTATCAAAAAATAATAAAGTCAAAGGGAAAACAGAAGAACCCCATTTTGTAATGGCAAAGCGGAATAGTGCTGTAGATGGAGGGCAGAGTGCTGGGGGATGAGGGTGAGGTCCTGTCTTTGAGAATGACAAGATGTGGGGACTGTAGATACAGCAAATGAGGGGAGAGAGAAGGAGCAGTCTACAGGAAGGAAGGAAGGTTCCAGGCACAAGAAGAAAGGC